GTATGACGAAGCAATGTCGCTGCCACTAGCGTGCTCGTTGTGAGAAATGAGGAGCTCGACTGCATTGGCTTTCGAACTGTTTCCAACTTCCCTCGTCCCATGTCAGTCAGATGGATTCAACGGCAGTATATTGAAGCTTCCTTGACGGCCAGGCGTCAAGCGAAGAGATCCTCCGTCAACCCACCCATTTTTGGTTTGAGGTGCGATCAAGCGGGAGTCAGCAGGCAGGGGCCGTCGGTCGCGAAGGATCTCCTCCCATAGTTCGCGGACCCTTAGGTGAGTTCCCACGGCTTCCCCACCAAGGCGTAGCCAGGGGGGGGGACGATCGGTGTCGTGCTGCTTGGGTCGATGGTAGCGCCGCAGAATTCGAAAAGTGATGTGGCTGCTTGCAACAGAGTCCGATGAGCTCGAGTGCTTCTAAACGTGACAATCAGCGAGCCAAAAGAACCGTGAAGCCAGCTTTGTGTCGAGGAAGCGTCTGCAGTCAACCCTTGAGACGTTCGTAGAAGAGGGCCGCACCTCACCGGGAACCCCGTGATCGAAGTCGAAGCGAATCCGCCGGGAGAAAATTGAGTTCCTGATGAGTCAGCAGTCAACGGTGAAAACGCAATCGGTTCGCCTTGTGTACTCATCAACGACATTGGCTACCACATTTCCAAAGCAGACGGCGAGCGTCCGGATGATCGAATCCTTCATAAGCTGTTCACGAATCATTGGAAGCCGCCATCTGACTTTCGACTTCCGTTTTCTGGGCAAGCAAATCAAATTCAGCGGAACGGCTAATCCGTGGTCCGGAGATGCACATGAGTTCTGCGGCACTGGGGATGCGGGCACTTCTCTTTCCGCGCCGAACGGAGAAGCCGGTCAAGATTTCAGGAACTGAAGACCAGGAAAAATTGATTGAACACAGGAGCGGAGGGGGTGAGTTGAGGAAGAAGATGCTGCATGAAAAACAGTTCGATAGACGTCAGAGCCAAAAGTTTGCGAGTATTGCTTGCGGCAACCAAATTCTCGTGGGATTCGGTCCATCTCCGCTCAACAAAAAGTACCCGGGACCTTTTGTGGCTGGAAGGGTGGAATTCGAAAATCTTCCTCGGGATTTCTCATCGTTCCTTTGATCAAGAGGATGAAGGGGGGCATGTTGGGACGAAAGAGAATTATCTCCTCTGGACACCCAGGAGGGAGTGAATCAATTTGGGGGGGGTAACGGTAGGAGAAAGGAAGAGCAGACGTGTATGGAGTCCCTGATGATACTTCGTCTTATGTAAAGCATAGAGAGACGCGCGATACACGATATCGTGAATCGTGCACTCCTATACAAGCCGACGGCGAGAGGGATAGAATCGCGAGACCATCCCCAGAACTCAGCTCACACCGCATCCAGTACGCGTGTAGCCAAGGGTCTTGGGTCATCGGCTGCTATCGAATATTGCTGAGAATTCCAGCCCATTTATTCCAGACGACACAGCTGAAGCCGCGATTCTACTCCAGACGGCTTCCACTCCAGATGCGTGCCGAAGCCTCGATTTGCTTCCTTCTCAAGATGGACAGCTCAAAAAACAACCACTCGGTTCCAGAAAACAAACTCGACTGGTTCCGTCGCTTCTCCGCAATTTTCCCTGATTCTCAAGTTCTACTCGTGGACTCGCTGCGATGGAGACTTCATCTAACTCAGAGGCACCTCGCCAAGAGCATGCAAACAGAGCGTGGAGAGTGGACACATGTACACTCAGGTCAAGGAGGACCCCATCAGCACCATAGAATTTATTAATTACATCGCTCCCACATTCTGTCAATTTGAATACCTTCTGATTTGGTCATAGGCGCCGTCCAGCGCCGGATTGTCTTTCCGGAAAATCATTATTATTGAGCTGCCCCATAGGCTTCCCAGAAATGCCGAATGAAGTACTCCTAAAGCAGGATTGCTCTACAGGACACTCTTGATATCCGACCGTGACTGGGTAGTCGAGCGGCACGGTCGATTCCGAGCCACGGGCTTAATTCTCGCCGATATCCACCGTCCTCTCGTCCCCGACCCTCTCGTAATTCTTCCTCTCTCCTCATGTCTTCCTCTTCATCTTGCTCTACTTCCGTGTCTTCCTCTTCTTCTCCTATGCATTATTCGTCCATTTTTTCCTCGACCTTGACTTCCTTTTCTTCGACGACTTTCTCTCCTTCTGCAGCTCCCTGCTCCTCTGCTCCCTCCACAGTCTCGTCAAGCGTGTCTTCAACCTGGACATGTTGTGAAGGATCGACCACTGATCGTTCTATCGACCGGGCACAGGAAACACTCCGAGACGTCCCGGGTATCATTCGTTCCGAGGCCAAGTGGGAAGAAAAATCGGACTTTCCAGAGCCGAAGATTCGCTCCAAGCTCTGCTGCGAGGGATAAGCGGAGTGCAGAAGATAGCGTAGCGGTTCATCGTTTCGAAGCCCAAAGTTCATGTGACCGGCCCACCATGTGCTCTACGACGCCGATGCCGAGCATAGACTTCTCAAGAAGGAGCGGGTACTTCAGGACTCGTATCGTTTGGCCGAATGTTTTCTTTTTCATATTTCTCCACCGTGCCGCTTTGTACATGGTCTCCGGATGTGCTCACCTCTGGAGTTGCCATTCACCTTGGCGACTCCCTCTGTAGAAGCCGCTGTCATGTATGATTACGACTACTGGTTTCCGATTATTGCGATTGTTCCCTGACGTCTCCACACAGATAGATACAGACAGTCCTCACTCGTGTTGGTGGCCGGCAACTGAACACAGGACGCGGGATATTTGACCACGCCGAACGAAGCGAACCTCGAAATCCACGGGAAACGTTTCAATTTCTCTGGCGGTCTGGAACGATTGAGTTTCAGGGCCGGTTTCGCGAACGGTATCCCGGCGAACACTTCGACTTGACGTTCCCCACCGAAGTCCAAGCCAAGGGTACTCCGACGCTCAGATGCAGAATCACGAAGACCCCGCAGATGGGGCGCTCCACAAGCTCCATGACGAATACGCGTTCAACATCTTCACTTGAGCACTTACGATGTTCCGTGACTGGGAAAATGATCAGAAATGCAAACTGAGGGAAATATCCCTCGCGTGTCCCGATCGTCCGAGCGTGTCTTTTCCAACAATGGCGACGCTGCTGATAGCGATGGATCTCCGCCCGCAAAGATTACTCTTTTCGAGAGTCCACAAGCACTTCGGTCTCAGAACTTCCGGGGCCCAGTGATGATCGTCCATCGGGAAATCCGGATCGTCCAATTCTGATGATATGAGGTTCCATCTGACTGACTTAAGGGGGTCGAATTCACCATTGTGGATTCAGGTGCGGCTATCGATTTCGACGGGAGACGTTGACACGTTCGCTCGGCCTCCATTCGCTCTCGCCTATCAGCGACCAAGATGAAAAAACACGCAGGCCATCGACTGAGTATCTAACTCAGTCGGATAATGAGCGTAGAACTACGCTCTTCTGAATTCTCACCTGTATTCTTAGACATGTTTATATCAAAATATCAGGCTCTCCCAAATGAGAATTTTGTTTTCCACAAATACAACAGGATTTACGGTCATGAAACAACTTTACTTGAATGATTCTTCATACAGAAGAATACAGGTTTATGTTAACTGAAGTAACTTATGTTGTTGAGTGATATGCATGATGCCTCACGTGTCCGAATATTTGTTCCACAAAACGTAGCAACCAGAAGGTTGTCGGAACTGGAGTACGTAGACTGAAATACATATGGAATGTATCGAAGGGTCGGGGTTCACCACTGCCCTTATAATTCCAGTCGACGTAGTCCCGGAAAAGAATTAGGAGACATTTTCTGACTGCTCTGCTCTCTCCTATCTCCCAGAGATGGAGTAGTTTCCAATTCATCGACATCAGCTCTACTGCACTGGGCTCTCACTTCGATTCTTTAATTGGAATGCATCGTTCAAGGGTTTCTGGGAAGGCAATTGGTACGCTTGAGAAAGTGACATTAAGTGGCATCTTCGGGCGAGAAAATTATCATGCGATGAGGTCTGTTGACTCCTCTTTCCACTCACAGTGAGAATCGTTTTCACCATGAAATGATGAGATAACTTCGTATGAATAAAAGGCGCCACTTCGACTCATCGCGGATATCCTCGAATTTTCCCTCTTGATCATAATGGAAATCATTATCTCGTGTGCGATCATTGGTATACTTATCGGAGAATAGGTTTTTTTCGCTCAAATGTTTCTGCGGAAGCGAATTGTGTCTTTCAAGGCACGATTGAATTCCGAAAAGTGAGATCGCCTTCTTTTTCGTAAGTAGTTGACGGAATCGAGCCGCTATCGTCTAGGCGGTCGAAGTTGCCGAAGCTAAACATTTCTTGCCATCATGATATTTGTGCTGGGATGCGTAGTTCTCGAGTATTTTGAAATCGAGCCTATATTATGGCCTATTTCAACCCGAAGAAAGGATTCTCGAGTTCGGCATGACCTTCTGACGATGCCTCACAAGCACTCCCACATATTTGCCCATAACAGTTTTCCTCATAAAATGCTTTGTTTTCGAGAATATCGACGATGGAGTTTGTGACCATTTTTCACGATTCGCACCCCTGTTTGTCGACCTACCGGGGGCTATAGCGTAGTTCAACGCTAAAAGCTCTCCTCAACAGCAATTACGCAACCGGCACCGAGCAAGCAGAACTCTATCTCTTTCTCCAATTCTCAGAGCTTCCGAATGAATCGAAGTTTCTGGGCTGGTGGTTGTTCACGAATGACTTGGGTGGACTACCAGGCAAAAAAAACCTAAAGGATAAAGGTTTCTCGGGAAACTTCCGATTGGCCCGCCTCCCCGCGTCTGTCCGCCACCTCAAGAACAGTCCACGTACCGGGGCCAATCGCTCGGAGCAGATGTGCGTTTTTCCGCTCTATATATACAGTCTCGTACCCTTCGAGTAATATCCACTATTCACGCTTTTTGATCCGGACCGTGGGATGCCCCTCTCTCACCCCTCAACCGGAGGATGCTCCTCAATTCTTTTAAATGTTCTCAGAGCATTGCCTCCAATTGAAGGAGATACGTACTTGAATTCAGAGATTCTTCAATCATGAAAACCGGAAAAAACATTCGAGAAGCGAACGCTTGCTCCTGAGAATGATCATTATCATCGGGTACCGAAAGCATCACCAAGGCCTTGATCCATATAATTGAGAATCTGTTCGTATTACTTCGATGCAATCGGGTGCTTTCAGCGGAGGGAATCCCAGCCAACGAGTTCTCATCTGAGATTTCTCTCGAGGCAAACGCGCTGATTCTAGTCAGGATAATGAGCCCCCGGAGGGTCGAGCGAGCTTCGGATAACATTTTGTTGAAAGATATCACATTTTATTCACCACATAATTGGACAGAAATCTCGAACCGTTACATTCGCCAGGTCAGCCTGGCAATGCCATGGCATCACAGTATACACTCCGTACATAAATACTATAGAATACAGTGTCACATAGATCTAATCTCTGTTGGAATGGCGTTGAATATCATACTAAATCTAAAAAGTCTTCGAGCTGCCTGACTCGATCTACTGTCGTTTTTTGAGTTGCTGAATAGGGTCCTCTCTCTTATCCTTCTTGTAGCGAAGGGCTCTAAGTCCGGACATCATCCTGAGAGACAAGGACAACATACAGTGGAGAGGCATGCTGTTAAAAGCTACCTCCTGGAAATAGCCGCGTATCTTATGGGGGATATAACCGTAGGTTGACGTCTCTAGTCCGACGGTGGTGAGGGCTCGTCGGACATAGGCATCCGGGGTCGGAACATTGAGGCTGGCTTTGCGGATCTTGGACATTTTCGTCGACACGAACGCTGGCTTCACTGACTGAACGATGACTCCGAGATTCTGATATTCACATGCGGTCGCCTGGGAGAGGAATTCCATATAGCTTTTCGTTCCCGCGTAGACGCCGAGCAGCGGCAACGGGTACATGTTCGACAAGGACGACACGTTAATGACAACTCCACTGTGTCGAGAAGCCATTCCCGGAAGAAAAAGACGCATCATCAGAGTTCCCGACGTGCAGTTGGCCTGGATCATCTGATCAATGAGGTGATCACCATCGGGCACCTCGGTGAAATACTCCGGGTACGGGAAACTCATGCCGACATTGTTCACCAGCACAGCGACTTCGAGATTCGAGATGAGCTTGCGGATGACTTCGTAGCAGCCGCGATCGTTCGAAGAGAAGTCGACAGACAGGGTTTTCGTTTCAACTTTGAACTTGTCCTGGATCACGGCAGCGACCTCATCGAGCTTCGACTGAGTCCTGGATATCAACCAGATGTTGATACCCTTCTGCGCGAGCTGTTCCGCGTAGGCCCTGCCGATGCCATCGGACGCTCCCGTGACGACAGCCCATTTCCCGGCGAACATTTGGAAGTTCACGTTGTGACCGAGGACTTGGCCCAGGAAGCAGTGGTACGCTCCACGGACCAATGATTGCAGCAGGCGGAGCGTACCCACAACCAGGAACAGCAGTCCCGAATAGGTAATGAGCCTCGCCGCGAACGACATGTCGGCGTTTTGGAAAACGCAATTCTGATCCATTTCCGCTGAAGAGATAAAGAAAATGCTTCGGTTAGATTTGTATTTCTAGTTTCTGACCTTTTCCGGGGAATCATTTCGTGGCTCCAGGACTTCTCATTCGGCAACAAGAGAGTTAAGAAGATTGCCCCCCGAAGCGAGTCGGTATACGGATTATCGTTCAGCTCCGCTGCTCATCTCCTGGTGTTCGTCCACGATGGACTGGGATCAAATTGGTTTCGCCCCTCTCATAGGGAGTGAACTCGGTAGATATTCTCAGAAAATATCACCTATCGAGGACAAATTATTCCGCGATCCGATGGGTTCCACCTGCTTAACTGTCAGTCCGTGGAGTATTTTTCACCCACCTAGAGAAAGTTTTTTGGAGCGCAATCCGAACGATTGTTGAGCGGAAACTAAGGCAGAGTGCTCCGAGCGCTCCCACTAGGGCACCAATTGTGAATGCGCGAATTCTGTTATATCCGCGGAATCACACACCTAAACATCGTCTCGCGGACTCAACATATTTGAGACCGCTCCGCCGCAGCTTCATACAGGAGTAGCACGATCGGAGCGCAGCTCAAGGTTGCCGAACGGGCTTGTGTTTGTGGAATGATCTCCCTGAACGTTTCATTTCCGAGGAACAAGAGAATTCTCAAGGAAGATTCTAGTTGACAACGGCTGTGAGCCCAGAATCAGAACGGAAGCATCCAAGTGTGCCCGTCTAAGCTCGAGGTTTCTTGCATGGCGAAGCCGGCGAGTCTGAAGAAAATCCATTCTTTGATTCTCCTCGAAGTGTTGGTTGTGGCATATAGCAGATCCAAAGGAATCATCAAAACCTCCTCACGGAGAAGGGCTACCACGATGGTCTCCAGATATCTCGGCCGAGGAGCCTACGATTCTCTCGGTATGAAGATGGCCCGTCTTCGGCCCGACGTCATCGGCCCGGAGAATATTTCTCGCTCGCCATTCATATGCTGAAAGGATCTCGCCGTGGACACTCCATCCATAGTTCGTGGGAGCTCGAGCTGAACAGCCAGAACCCTAGTCCCTCTGAGAGACTCGAAGATGCTCAATTCCGATACACTCGCACTCGACGGCACGTTCAGTGATCGTGACACGCGGAGTCCTCGATAATGCGAGTTCCCGACTCACGTGGCTCCATGTCACCTCTTCAGGCGAGATCTGCGCTCTCCTGAGCCTTACACGGGCTCTGACTTGTCGTCTGATGACGGCCGACAGAGATAGCCCTCACACTCTGACACTCCTCCCATAGATCTCATTAAAGCGGGAGCGTCGCCCTTTGGAGAGGAAAATGAGCGACTCATGCTAAATCTACGATTCCCGCATGACAATGACTCCGTGATGCTTTCGGTAACCACGAAGAAAAAACCGACATCCCACGCGAGACAGTTCGGTGATTCGACAAGGTATTCGAATTAGACGCAATTTCTGACGGCTGGGGATTTCGCCGGTTTCGCTTCGCGTCAGGAGATGAAAATCTCCGATTGGAGATGCGGAATCGACAGAGCATGTTTATCGAGTCCTCGACGACCCCCTAAAGCCAGTTTCCATTGCTTTCTATGCAAGAAATGACGTTAGGCAGCGTTCCCGACGTGACGGGGAGTTTTTGGCTCGTCAGAAGAGCCGATCTACAGGATACATAAGTAAAATCTGCAATTCTTCCACACGGATCTTTCACGAGCATCCCCGCTGGATGACGCTCCGGAATAACCAAATACTTGCGCGAGATCCCAATGCACACGATTCGAGCAGTCACAATGGGACACGATCCCGGGAACGCGGGAAAATAGAGGAAATTTCGTGGCTCACCTCTGCGTCGGCACTATTCTCTGTCCAATGAAATGAACCTCAGTCCGGTAGTCTTCGTTTCAGCAACGTCAGCAGAACGCCACGGCGAGCCCGAAGGAAAGTCTTTGCTCCGGCTGGTTGAATATCTCTCATCACGTCTTCTCTCAGCTGGGGGGCCGACGTAAGGGTGCGCCTAACTTAGATGAAACTTTGCAGCGTTGGGACTGTGTATTCCGGTCTAGATCCAGCGCTGTCCTGATTCGGTGGCCGATCGAAAGGAAATCTATTGAAGACACCGAAATCAATGATTCAATCAGAGCAGCTTTGGCTCTTTGATAGCTCGTTTCTCCGGATAAGAAATCCGTACCATGAGAGGAGAGGAGGGCGGTAATCCCTCGATTCCTCGATTCTCGATCCCCCGACTTTCTTGGCCGCTGATTTGGCGGAGTCTTCGAGCGGCCTCTAGAACTCTAGAGATATCATCAATCATCACCATCGCACGAATTATAGATGCGCGCTGATCGGTCTCTCTTGCTTTACATCGCGCGTGTCGGGAGGGGACCGGCCAGCCACTGTCTCGACTCTCTCGGCGCGGGAGCTCCTCACGGTTCTCGAACTCACCGTACCGGATATGTACGTATGTACTCTGGCCATGATTCAAACGGCCGCAGCTGTCTGGTTCAGACGGGAACCATCATCTCGATTGAGGTTCATTTCATTGGGAAGCGTCTGGGGTGTGATCCTCAACTACCTGGGCTTGCTTCCCGGTCGGGGTGGGACACCTAGGACCCCGTCGTCCGAGCTCATCATCATTTTCGACTCCCTAGCCTCGGTGAAATTTCCCCCCCCCCCGTTCCTCGGAGTTGCTCGCTGACAGAGCATCACCCACAGATCGGAGAAAAAAGACTCCACGAACGTTTGTCTCCTCACGCAACTCGCGATAGCCTGGGATTCCTTCTGGGAATCGCTCACAATATTCGATTCTGAGATAAGAAGACAGTCCTCGAGAAGAATAAACTGTTCAGATATGAATAAATCTCTGTCAAGATCATACGTTCGCATAAATTCCTGGAGGAGCTCGCATCTGGCGATTCAGGAGAGCTGCGCTACCTTGATTGAATCGATCCAAGAGCCTAGAGGTGACTCCTCGACCGGAGCCATCGCTGACCGAGCTAAAATCAAACCTTTCTCCGAATCGAACTTGGGCTCGGACTAGAGCTGCGCCCAAATCAAACCCAACATTTTGCAACCGGAGACCTGCCAGTCCGAGGCTGAGGGAGTGGAGGCACGCTTCCTAACGGGCGTATGCACCCTCCAAAGCCTAGCAGCGTAATAGCTGCATCAGAAAGTGTCACACTGGGCATTCAATTCTGTCCCCGCCGCGCAATTCACGACCGTTGTCGCCGGGAGAAGCTCTTGCTTTATATATAGATTGCAGATTGACCAGATCCTCGTACTCTCTGCTCCGGGAGATGTCGAGGCGCCTCGGCAAAAACCTCTTTACATCCTACACGGAGATTCAGAACGCGAAAAACGCTTGTTGTTTATCGATAGAGAGCTTTCTGATAACTGAAAACAGGATGAAGCTACCTCTGCAAGCAGTTTTAGATCTCACTTGTAGACGTCTATGTCAGACCGAGAAGTCCAACTTCGAGAGATCCATCGATTCCGGCCATGGAGAACTAACCTTACTGAGTAAGTGGGGTTGCGACGCGAGCGGAGGTCAGAGTCTATACGAGCAAGGATTCAGCAATTCTACTATGAACGACGGATCCTTATTCGTCTCTTCTTTCCTTTCGTCCCTCTGGAGCTAGGAGCATCCGGCAACCAGGATTTGGCGTGGTATAATCCGGTGACCGGTTCTCCCCGATATTGCCGTCCGATGAAATTAATCTTCACGAAGGAATCGGATGAAGTTATCTTGCATGAAACTCAGATCATAAGGTCGCAGATAAGGACGCTTGTCCCAACGAGCGTTTCGATCCGAGGCGTCAATATTTCCGTGAAGCACAAGTTGATGCTTACAGTGGTAGATGGCAAAGTGGTCAACGCTTCAACTGGAGCGAGATCGACTAAGACTTCTTATATCTGTCAGTCTACAGTGAAGCAATTGGAGGAAAGCTCACAGCGACCCCCAGATGTCACATCGACGCTGACGAGTTTGGCGCCTACGCTTCGCAGACAAAAAACCGTCTGACCGAACTTTACCGATGGTTCCCAATGACACCTACGGTCCACAAAATTCTCGACCATGGCGCTGACATTGTGCGGCATCACGCAGTCCCCACCGGGTCATTGACGGAGGAACCTCGAGAAGCTAGACATAAGGAAATCCAGTGTTTCAGACTCCACAATACGAGAAAGTCGACCAGGGAGAAGTCCAATTCAGACTTCCTGGCCACGTTGATGGTTTCCTCCGACCCTCTGGTGGCCAGCTACCGTGAAACAATACAACGTCCTCTCAGTCAGACACTCCACTGCGCGAGCCACTGTCTTAATCTTGCTATAGTGCATTCGTTGCAGAATTTCATCATAAGGAATGCCGTGGGCACGCTAGCAAATGTATGCTCCTTCATCACGAGTTCTTCCCCTCGCAATGAAGCCCTCGATAATAAAGTCAAACTCCATTTCGACAGTGTGGAAGCCCAGCGTCTCGAACCTTTGTGCGCAACGAGATCGGTAGGAAGCCACAAGGCTTTCATTACTTTCAAGGAAATGTTTGTGCCAATTGTTGGCGCTCTTGGAGAGATTTCTGAGACCAGAAGGGACGCAAGTCGGCGAGCTAACGAGCTGTTGTGTTCACTCTGCAAGAGCGACTTTGTGGTAGCTCTCTTCGTCATCGAGAGCTTCTCATCCGTCGTGCTTCCGCACTCAGATACTCTTCAATGTCCGGAGCTCGACATACAGTGCTCCGGAGACCGTGGACGATATGACTGCTGTTCTGCGGCACCAGAGGGCGAACGCGGAAACAGCGTTCGCAGCGATTTTTCACAGGCAACCTCAATTTGCTCCCAACTGGAGATCGATGTCAAACTGCCGAGAGTGTGCCGCATCCAGAATCATAGGGGAAACCATCCTTTGCAGACCGTGGAAGAGTATTTCTGAGTCGCTCTTTACATCCAATACTTGGATCAGCTCATCGAGGAAATAGCCACTCTTTTCGAGCACCGTAAAAGGAAGCTCTCAAAATCCAGCACATCTTGCCGAGATTCATCGAAAAGAGCAACTTCGGTGACTTAGAATATGTCATCGAGTTCTATCAGAGCGATCCGGGCAGCAGCTCAAGCACCATAGAAGGTGAACACGAGCGTTGGAAAATTTAATGGCTGAGAATTCCACGAGAAAAGCGACCACTAACTAAGCGCAATAGAAGCTCTGAATCATTGCTCCGAAGACGACTATCCGAAAATCTCAACTTTGCTACGAATCTTCGCGACGCTTCCAGTCACCACTGCGACGCCGGAGCGTACATTCAGTGTACTGAAACTGCTGAAAACACATCTGCGGACAACAATGAGCGAAGAGAGACTCAACGGCTTGACGTCAAGAAAAATCCACCGGGAAGTTCCGATCTCCGCGGAAGAGGTCGTCGAGCAACTCGCTTCCAACTCGAGAAAAATTGATCTCATCCTTTAGTTCTTTCTTGAATCGATCGGAGTGCTTCCGTGTCTAATATGAATGAAGACGATTCTGAAATGAGATCGCGAAGTCTAATTACTATCCCTTCGAGTTACGCGCTCGGAAGTAGGGATCTTGAAGGCACTCCGGACTGAGAACCCGAGTGACGCCTGAGGAGGGCTCCGCCCATATCCTCAGAACTGCCAGGAGCACTCGTGATAGCTGCTGACTTCGAGCCGCATTTTCTACCGCATTCCCGACTCCGCGAAGCGTATTATCCCACGGCAGAACCCACACGGCCACCGAGTATTTGGCCGCAAGCAGGCGCGTCCACAGGGGGGGCTAAGGGGGCTACAGCAGATTGGACCTCCCGCAGGTCTCTGAAGTCGGCTCTCCAAAGCCGCAGGCCGAATAGATAGAGATGGAGATATTCACCCAATATCAGTGAATACGAGCATGAATATGAATACTTATGAGGATGGATGTATTCATTGCATTCGGTGAATATCAGGATTATCTGAATATATTCGTAGTCGACCCCTCGAGTTGGCTGAGTCAACAGAAAGGTCTTCTACACACATCGCTTAATAATATTAGCATACGGCCGACGAATGAGCGTATGTACATCAGCTCTACCGTGAATCAATATCTCAACGAATCCCCGCGAGAAGAGGGATTCTGAGCAGAACCCTTCTCGACATCGACCCCACCAGAAAAATCGCTCATTTTGGCGGCTTGAAATCCAGGAACGTCGAATCCAGCATGCTTTCGATTCCATGCAATTTTTCGCAGAAGACGAGATTCTCGTCGAAATATCTTCTTAGACAGAAGAGTAAGAGCTCGCAGAGCTCCTTGACTTGTCACCGGTACCGGTGGCAGAGCTTCTCCTTCACTTTCCTCGCTCGAGATTCCGGGTGAGAAAACTGACCCCGGGAGTTGGATCAGGTCGCGAATCTGGCCATCGCTGATAGATCCCGAATCCCGAGCATGGTTCATGTTCGTCGACGGCGACATACTCATCGCTCATCGCTGTCGCTACCTCACACGACGCTGGAGCCTTCTGCCAAGATCGAATCGCTTCCGTACACGGCGCTTCGTACCGCGGATCCCAGGGTGCTTCAGCTTCAGGTCTCCATCCAGATGGCATAACTCGATGATATCCTGAGTCATTGATCCAGGAAAACACACGCGACCATCGCGATATAAGAGACCTCCCCGAATGGAATACCTCCCCAACGGATTGCCGTCCTCAAGGGTCTTCATTTCGCGGAGATAATCCAGATTTCTGCTGCGCGCCTCTTGAACTCTTGATTCTTAGAAGCGCGTACTCCTCGGGTCTTTCGATCCGTCGAGGATCAATCGGATTCCGAGCTCGGGATCCACATCTTTGCCAATCGCCAATCGACGGTTCTCGCACCTCTACTCGGACGAATCTATCCGCAATTTTCATCAACGATTCGAGGTCTTTCGGGCTTGCGGCGGCAATGAGATTCGCGAAGGTACATGAATTGCAAGATTCTCTGATCTCGTCGACGAAGACCGCGAATTCCAATGGCATACCTAATTCCACGGAGAGAGACTGCTCCTTTCCGATGGAAGACGTGAAAGGCTCGAGGGGGAGCCGCTGGCGAGCGCAGTATTCAGCAGGGGACCTTCTACTCCCCTACGGGAATCGCGCTGGGAACTCATCCTTGAAACACGTGCATGTCGATCGATTTCCTATTTCGGCCACGAACCAGGCCTTCGAATCCTCATCCTGTGAACAATAAGCCAGCTTGAGAACCTGTTCAGCTGACCAACCGAGTATGTTGGCGTCCTTTTCTAGCCGTCTCAACCATTTCGTCGGTCTGACGGGATCGAATGCACCTTGACAGTGCGTACGGGTATCAGAAGCTCCAATAATGCTGCGGGATGTGGGATGGCGCTACGAGCGTCGCTACAGTTTTCAGGGGCATGAATACAACGCGGATTTCCCCCGGTTCGACACTCTAATCCAACTTGTGAGACGTCACGTTGTCGGAGAAGAGCATTCTTGAGTGATACTCACTCCCTGACCCATTACCGAAGAATGAGTATCCTCTCCGCGTACATCCCGTTGAGCTCCGAGGCTCCGAGAACCGTCCTATTCTTCCGACATCCTGTGGTCGCAAGCTATCAAGGCAGACTTCCTTTGATCAAGTGCCGAGATCGACATCCCGCTCCACCGGGAGCATCATCGCATGAATTCTGGAGAGAGTCGTAGGAAATTCACGGGAATCGCCCCGGAATGAAGAATATTATTTGTCTCATATATGCGAGGTCTCCATAGAGTCTAATGGGAGCGGGATTGGCGATGGGTCTTTCATAGGGTGGAAGTCCTTCCTGCGCGAGCCTCTTGTACGCGATTTTCAAACATGGACGCCTATGGGCGGAGAGAATGAGGAATCAAAGTCCCGTATACATGGGTCTCTTTTCTCGTCTACGCGAATCTCTCTTGGAATTTTGGAAGCGGCGCCGACTGCATCAGCAAAGATCACAACCATCATCGCCTGCTCGCCTCAGCTGTCTCCCACACGAGACGTCGGACTTTTCCCCCCGTCTCCTTGTCAGCTTCCGCCTCTGCAGTCTCCGTGCAAACTAATCGATAGACTTGGACGGTTCCCTCGACCATACATGCCACGAATCGGGAATACGATTTCCACAACCGGCCCATACGGGCTTCCCCACACGGGCTTCCCCACACAACAACAATAAACACACGAACGAGATACGAAAACAGAGACAGCAGACGATACCGCACTCTCCGGGACTGGAGACTGGACTGATGAAAGGTTTCAGAGCGGAAGTTTTTCCATTCTGAGCCGGATATCGTAACGAAGGACAGGAGCTTTTCGAAGTCGGCGGAATGGCGGCTACCGGCACCAAGGGAAAGCTCCTACGAGTTATAGATGATATGGAAATCATCGCCAAGTGAGTGAATCATTATTCGTTGCTGGTTTTAGTGGGTGAAAATGAAAGTCAGCCCAATCCGGTAGGAGCGTCTGATCTTTCATGCAAAGCTTCCTCATAACTCCCGACTGAAGATCTCGAAAATTAACTATTTAGGGAATTGGTGGACAATTTCTTGGCTCCTAAGTCCCAGAAACTGAGTAGTGCGGAGCACTATCATCTCGGGGAGATCCTCGTCGCGAAAGACCAGGAGTTCAAAGATCTCCTCCAGCAAGCTCGTCAGCAAGAGAAGGTTGGTTCCTCGGGCTGGCTGATCAAATTTTAATCGCGGTGCGCGACGCAGAGAAAAATGATCTGAAGTTGTTCTGGGACCCCGCAGGTCGAGGAAGTCATCGAAGCTCTACAAGAGGAAGTCGACCGTCAGGACAAAGACATCCATACACTACAAAGCAATCTCAAGGAGGCCGAGAACCTACTGGTTAGTTTTGGCCGTGAATTCCCTTCGGGGCAAGACATAGTGTTTTTCTTCCTGTCTGTTTTCCGACCCATCTGACGATCTCCAAGGGAATGAGAGGACTACGAGAATCGTTTCTTGTCCCGATGCAGGCGACCGCAATTTTCCAAGCGAAACAAAAGCTCGAGTCGATCAAGAAAGCTCAGGAGAACCAGGTCTCCTCAGAGGAATTGATCAAATATGCACATCGGATATCCGCCTCGTCTGCGGTCGCCGCGCCTCACAATTGGCAGCAGGGAGATGTGCGACGCCCATATCCGACAGACATTGAGATGCGCCAGGGATCGTTGGGCAGAATGTGTGATCTCCCGCTACCACCTGCTGAAGGACCCCGTGGAATCCTCGGTATGTCTACTCCGGTATCAGTTCGTATTATTTCATACGCCAGCTCCCCTGGGAAATGCACAGCCATCAGTGCTCCCGGGAATACTCAGGATCCGGCTCTATTCGATCCTCCCAATGCCTCGAGACCTTTCGTTGGCAGAGTGTCGGAACCGATCATACAGAAAAGTTGTATTCGCCGGTCTCAGCTCGTTGAAATCTGGGTTTTCGTCATGTGTGGGTATTGCATCAAACGGAAACAACCGTTACTCTGTTGGGCTCGCTCACATCGAATCTTTGCGCAACATCCGATCGGGAATTATCATTCTCTAATATCTAGAAAAAAGAGAGATAGGCGTAATTTTAAGCCGCTCATGTCGACCCTGTTCGCAATCTTATTCCCCAGAGCCGAGTACGTATAAGCCGTAGGTTCTTTGATCAGATACTTCTTCAAAATTTTAAGTAGAACTGATCCTAAGGGTGAGTTATGGCTCGCTCGCGGTGAAGACGGGAGCTCATCGTAAGGGCGCTTTGCTGTACCGCTCTTAACGCCAGTCGACTGAACGTCGCCGTTCCGTTCCAGAGGGAAGTTTGGGAACGCCCGTCGGTGGTCCGCCATCCGGATTCTCGTGGCAACTCGGATCTACATTGTCGTCCCAAGACATCAAGCCCAATTTGTCTTCCCTGGCCCTGCAGACGGGACTGGAGACGAAGAACGAAGACGTCGAAGTTATGTCGACAGATTCCAGTTCGTCATCAAGCAGCGACAGCCAATGAGGATAATCCTATCCCATCACAATGTACATGAGCAGGTTTTGTAAATAAGATCAGGATTTTCTACCGACGTCATGGGAGTTTTGACACTCGGGAGTAAAATCGATACATATGCGGTGACCCATGCGCTGTGGAGAAGCGCTTCATCTGTTTCTGGCCATTTCCCACCCGATGCCTGATGCCTGACTCAGTTTTCTTTCGGGCCGGACCACACGGCCAAGCTTCAAGGTCCTGGCTACTGTTTATCACGTTGCCTCCGAGGACGGATACAGAAAACAAAAACAATCAATGCCGAGTGCCTGCATATCAGAGCTGAGCGCCGTACCCAGGACGCGGCGCCATAGACTCAATGGTTAAGCGCCATGACGCGCTGGAACCAGTCATTGTAGTGTTAGGGGTCATAGCTCTTAAAATCGAAGCTTTGTCACACCAGGAGAGTAGCTTGGAGCCCGCACTGCAAGCTGAAACTTCATTGTTCCACGCAATGAAGAACCCCGAGCTCGGAACGGGTAAATGTCGATTAGGGCGAGCCGTGTTCTGGTCGCAGCTGTGGAAGAATCGCTCCCAGCCCATGAGCTCTGACGCACCGCAGGATCGTCTCTAGGGAAAGAGGCAATTCCCCAACAGAAATCAAAGCGTGAGAGGATGTGACGACAATCAGTTGGGACTGGGAGTCAATGAGAGGCTTCCTCCATCCATTGAACATCGGCTAATGTTTTTCATCGCTCCGCGAGGAAGTAAGCACATGAATGATAATAATGAAGCGGAAAGCAGCCGACAATACTATGTCCGAATTCGACTCCACAACGGTTCTATCGCCGAGCCCATCTGAGCAAGATACCGAAGAACGCTCGACGATCCGAGATCGAGCAGCAGTGAGTTCTCTATCCGTCAATGATTTGCTTTCATCTCTTAAAACCTGCTTGACAAGTCTCGGAACAGTGCCACTCAGGGACAATATCGAGAGAGTTATTTTCTTCAGCTGGGCTCCACGACGTTCCTCTTATTCGAGAGCGCGAAAGGCTGGAAATTAGCTGTCATCGTACTCCTCGCTATCATTATTCTGATGATGACAGCTGGCGCGGTTCTAACAATCCTGGAACTCGTCTCACCCTACAAGACCACCACGTAAAACATAGTCTCCCCGGCGATGCGGTGATTGGCGATACCTGATTTGCGGGATCGGTCACGACTGTCGATTTTCGCCCTATTGATACCTTCCTATGAGAAAACATTCAAGTCTTCCAGGAAATATGCAATCACATGGATTATCGAGGGCCGCATAGCTGAGTGTCGTCTCTTCAGTGTCAGAGTCAGAAGCGACGGGAAACTCACGATTAATTCCACCAAGCTGCAATTAAATGAGACAATTACGGGGAAGGCGGAAGACGCTGAACATCTTGGGTGGGTGCGCATTCTCATTTGATCGGAGGTGTCGGAGAAGTGAGAGCTCAGCTTCATCTGATGAGCTCTATTGAAGTTTCCCGAAACGACCCGAGAAGGAGGATACGTTCTCTCCCTCAGACCAGTCATGAAGCAAGCAGAATCGATGATACCACGAGAGGATCACGGTCGAACGATTGTTTATCTCTGCTACAGCTGGACATCGCCTCTCACACTAAAAGCCCCAGAAGTTTTGCAACGGTCGCCGTTCTTACCGCCTCTTACGATCGAAACTGACATAAATCTAGAAGGTGAGACGCTCCGAGGAGAATTTCGAGCGCTACTGAGCGTGAATATCGGCATGCACGACGAGCTCGCTGGTATTCGAGCCTCGCGTCTATATCAAATGGAACCGCGATTCTCAGATGTGCCTTGCGCTTATGGCAGGGCTCTACCGCTGGACAGCCGTGAATCTGCTTGTGCAGAATAAGAAGAGAACCGCGCTATCGTCGGGTTTCCTGGATCCAGGGAGTAGTGGGCGCAGAGCAATGATAGGACGAATCGTCGCTTCCTGCTTCGAAGGAGAAAGGGAATCCCTATACGGGCCTGTCTGCCTCTCGCTGTCGGGTCCTTATTTCTATCATTCGAAGGGGAGCATAAGACACTGGGCGATCACTCGGTTCAAGGACGGGAATATCTATGTCAAGGGTTCGAACTGTTTACCACCGAACGTCTCGATCAAGATTCCGTCCGATGGGATCGATATCTTTAATCGGGCCCCATTCAGTCTGGGTGAATGCCGGCGCCTCATCGAGGAACGATTCGGAAACTTGAGATTTGAAGTACCTCGCTTCACCGGGCAGAAGCTCTACTTGCTCGGCTCATTAGTCGACCTTTGTAATGAGATAGGCTTCCAAACGAGATCTCCGTTCACGCTCCGAGATCTGGAAACCAAGCTGCGAGAAGGTAAAATGTCGCCGACCGAGATCGATACGATGACTTGAAGTCTCGATTCCAATGCCGATAATCTCACTTCTGCCTCTGAAACTCACCAGCGTGCAGCCCAGAGTTCATGTCGCGGACGCCGTTCAGGTGTGCCGAGCTGGTGTTCCTCAAAATATATTTCGGCGACTTCATGGCGATGCAAGACTCGATCGATTTAATAGTGGGTTGGAAAGTCATCGCTCCGATTTTCGATTCCGCGCATTCGGATTACTGAACCATGCTGATAAATACTTCTTCCAGCCTCTCGGAACGGCGGACGGCTCTAATAATATCACCTGGCTTGATGGCCTTGTCCTGGCTTCAGCCGTGCCGAACCCGTCTGGCGACGAGAGGACGTCCTAGAAAATTTTGCGAATGGAGCTGGATCTCGAATATGTCAGGAACTCGCGGACGCTGATTCCATTATTGCCTCGGTCTTGGAGAAGTACTCATCTGCTCTCAGATATTGCGCAGCTCAATAGCTTCGCGGAGGAATATTCCCCTCTATTTTTCTGACGGGAATCCAACCTTCCTGGAGCGTTTCATTGATGCTGGAATGAATTACCTGGAACATCCACAAAAACAAACTCCTTATTGTGTCATTCTACCGGCCGAGAGTCCTTCCTCCTTGCGACAAAGGCCGGGATGAAGCTGGTGGCGTTGCTCGACGCTCCATATCGAAAACCCCATTCGCAGGGCTCGAGCCTGAGACCGGCTTCCTGGGCATGGCGGACAGCTGGGCAGGGTTTCTTCATTCTGATGCGATCGATTGAGCGGGGACGTTTCGTCATGGATGTCTCCCACGACAATGAGACTGTCCACCTTCCGCTCAAATCGTGAGCTGGGGCTGTTGTTCTTCATTTGCTTTCGGGCAGAAGTTCCCCTCTGCGATGCTTCGTCTTGACCATGAACCATGATGTATGAAGCTCCCGGAAGCTCCATGCGTTGTGCAGGGTAGTGTCGTAGGGATATGAACATAGGCCATGTCATCTGGTATCAGGCTTCCACTCGGTAAGGTAAGAGTCATAGAATTCAGAAGTCGAGGAGTTCGACCTCTCCTCTCGAGAAGATTCCAACCTTCCCACCCCAAAGAAAGCGACATTGAGGTGGGGCGCCGCGAGGAATCTCAGACACTCGCTGAGATTGTCCCGGGTCTCGAGGGTTCCGTCCGTCGCTCTCTAACGAGGAACAATGAAGCCAGGCGGTGCAGAAGACAGCGCCTCGGAATTTGGTGCGACGACAGTTCTTTCATGGGCGGAAACTGGAAAAGACACTGATGAATGCTCGTCGATTCGGGAGCGAACCTGGGTCAGCCTAGCGTACTCTGTGACGGACCATGAATAATATGTACATTCGCTTTCGTATCGGAGATCCGAACCCGAACTCTTACTGAAAGACGTCATGATTCATGACCAGGAAATATTCTAGCCTAGGACCACCACCTTTGTGGTGCGTGAGGCCTCGGCGGCTTGGGCTGGTGCCGTCTTCGTGCTGCTAATCATAATCATTCTGATCGTGACAGCTGCCGTTATCTTCATATTCTTGGAATCCATATCCCCCTTCAAATTCACCACGTGAGTCTTCCAGCTTCACCTCGTGAGCAGCTGTATCGTTCAGGCGGAACTCATGATGATCCTTTCGCCTTGGATTCGGCGGAATTTCGACCTTTATGATCAATTATGTATGATCGTATCGTGTGAAAAATATTTCATGGATCCCATACAGGAAGCTCATAACAAAAGATCATCAATGATGAGGGTCTGGGGTATTCTCACACATCTTTTGTTCAGGAAATATGTCATCATATGGGTCGTGGAATTCGGGCAGGCAGAATGCTATCTGTACACCATAAAGCTCAGAGCCGATAAGAAGATCTCCGCGAATGTCACGAAGATTTCCAAGGCACCGATCGACGACGGCGCAGATGTCGAACTCCTGAGGTTCGTTCTTTCCGGAACCTATCGCGCTGTAGTTCTCATGCAGGTTGTTTATGTTCGCTGGGTAGCATCCGTACACTCGAGCATGACTCGTTTGCATTCCCGTATCGAGCAGTGCCGATTTGAGAGAGGCAGAATCCATGATACCCGCAAGCGAGCTTGGGCGAACAGAACTCCTGCTGTGCTACGACCGTGAGCGTGCGCTCGTGAAAAACGCGCCGGAGCTTTTCGGAAGAACCCCCTTTCTCCCGTCTCGCCTCCTCTGGGCTGACGACAGAGTTACGAGTGAGTACCCCCCTCGAAGAGGCATTTTCGTTGCAAAAATGTCATCTGGCGAATAGAGGACTCGAGAGGAGCCTTATCTTATCCGTCAGGCTACTACACATGGATAGCTGTGAACCTCCTCGCGCGAAACAGTCGCGGGTCTGGATCGTCCTCGGGTGTTCTGTTCACAGAACAGCAAAGACTGCGAATCACGTCGATCACCGAGACTTGTGAGTCGCTCTTGGAGTCCCCGTTCGGCCCCGTCTGCTTATTCCAGAAAGATTTCTACTTCAAGCGCAATCACATTATACACTGGACCACATTCCCCATATCCTTCGATGGCAGAGACCAATGGATGGCGTCCCATTGCTTCCCGCGCAATGCTACCGTGACGATGGATACCCCTGGGTACTCTGTTAGAATCGTCAGTAATCCAGTCTCATTCGATCTCGAGAAATGCCGGCAGAACATCACTTCTAATGTTCTAAGCAACTTGAGACGCGGGGACACAGATTTCCCTGACTTTTCCCTGAGGAAGCTTTACCTGCTTGGTTCGCTCTTCGATATTTGCAGCAGTAATGGATTCAGCTCGGGGCGCCCATTCTCGTTGGACGATATCGCGAGAAAAATTCCTGAAGGTAAATATATATATCCGGGATATCTCGGACCTATGCTTGAACTTCTCCTAATCTGGACTGCGTTCTACGCTAGTGTGCTCCGGGGACTTCGTGGCGGACGAATCATTCAGATGTGCCGAAATATTATTCCTCCAAACCTATCTGACGAGCATCATGAGAATGCAGAGAGGAATTCAGTTGATAGTGGGTTGGAACCACTACGTTTTATGGTTCAGAGCCAGCCACTGTTCTTGATTGCCGAATTTTCTTAGAAATGTTCAATCCTTGCAGCCCCTCGCGGAGACGAATGGTTTCAACTTGACTTGGGTCGACGGTGTGGTTCTTGCTTCGGCGCTCAATTTCTCACTAATACAGATACAGATTTAGAATATACAGAGGAGTCCGAACGATTCCGTGTTGGTGAATGTGTGATAACGTGATAACAATGTCTCTCATGGTCTCAACCGAGCTTTGCGCTGGAACTTGGGGTAGACGACGAAACCTCTCCCTATAGAGAAATTCCATCAGGATGCGATAGTTCAGAATTCTCAGAGCTCCAGCTGCTCGGCGGGGAGTCCAGTGACAATTTACCCCTCGAATGACGACACATCTGCTCCATCGTGCCATTTCTTGAATGCCGGAGGTGATGCGTATTGGCCCGACTGACACGGAATCAGAAGTGAATGATGTATTAAGGGATCATAGATAGTCATGGAGTCCGGTTTCCCGGCACCAATTCAAATAAAGGAGAGAGCTCCCGCCGTCAGAGAGGGCACCGAAGCGCCGTCCGCTCTGGATCAACACGGCGACAGAGGTCAACGACCGATCTCTCCAGACGGGTCGCCGGTACAGCCGCGCGGAGATCTCGAAATTCAGAAAAGGAGCGAGTTATCAATCTCTGTTTCCCCAGCGCTCCGGCCCCAGGGTGCAACCCCGGGTCTCGGTACATAACACCGACATTTTATCGATCGACTCTCTATCTGGGTGATGCCCGAATCCCCTCCCCCGCAGCTGGGAAATGGAGTGCTGCTATGCCTCAATTAATATTCGATAGCAGGGTATTGCGGGCGTATATGACGTACGACTTTTCCGCCGCTGAGCAAACGCCGCTGTCGATGAGGTAGGCCGGCGCTCAAATTGCATCGACAACGAATCATTGCGAATGTTGTCAATTAATTCATTGGCCACACTGTGGTTCTTCCTTGCATCCACTGGCGTCTGCGGCGAAAATGTCACAAGCACCGTCACAGAAGCTGGGTCTCAGGACAGCGGAGCTAAGACTCCCGCTATCGCCGTGGTCGCCATGCTCACGCTCGCTGTCATATTCAGTCAATGCTGTCCAGAGAAGTCTTCAGCGTCTGATTCTTCAGAGTCTCCTTCGAATGCCCCCCGTGGCCTTTGCTGAGGACGCGCTCTATCGATTCTTCCTGAGACGCAAGAGCGCCTTTCTCTGAGCTCATCGTTCGATTCAGACGCTTCCCGCGTATCAACGTTTGTTTTTACCGATGTGGCGCGCCGCAGAAATGGGTATGTGGAGCCTGCGAGAAGAAGCTCTTCGCGGAGAAATTTTCGAGGATGTCCCCGTATCGGATAATGATGATAGAGATGAAGTAAAACTCATCGTGAATATGAAGCAGAACTGCCACCACACCTAGCACCAATGTCTCTCTTATCCTATTCTGTGTATGATAAAACACGACGCGTTCCGAGGATTCTTCTTCGTTTCCTAAAATCTGATACCGGGACGGAACGTCGAGATTCTCGTGTCTCGAGAGCGGCACTCGCTCATAGGGACCCCACAATCTTCCTAGGCGATCCTACTTTTCTGTGGAGGAACCAATATTCGGAGAATCGAGTTCTGATCTGGCAAAAGCTCCGAGCGAGATGAGGCACGTCGTGCCCTGAGCATAGCCGCTAGCCAAGAAACGGCGAGGTGTGAACCTCCTTAAATTCATCCTCCGTGCAGCTCTTAATCAGCATGAGATTCCCTACCTCCATATGGCTGAATCTGTCGGCTCAAGTATGTTGAGGCAGAAATTGATTTCGAGCATTTCGTGTCTCACTGATTTCATCAGCGGCGTTACGGAGCGGGCTTCATGAATATGCGGGATGACGCCGTAAATCGACGACTACAATGAGCGAGTCGCTCCAATGGGACATCCAAATCGTAATCGCTGCATTAGCACCGGTCGTCGTCAGGACAAGAATCGCTCTTTTCGGGGGTAGACCTTCCGCTCGGCACCTCGATCCGGCGTATTTTTCGGCGCGGTGTCTCGGTCCCATCCGACGAGGTCGCCCGCTTGCGCTGCGCTCGGCGAGCTCCTTCGTCTGAGCAATGCGTTCGCACTTCTTGATCTCCATCTTCACCGCCGCTTTGAGCGGATTTGGCTGTTTATAATGCACGGAGCTCAGGCTTCCCGTCTCTCCACCTCCCTCGGGCTTTTCTGAACCACTCGCTGACGATTGAGAATCTTTAGATTTACCTTCCCCGATATTCCTCGTAGTTGAACATCGGAACTTGTAGAAAGACCGCGCTATCTGCGTCGAGGACTGCGACGGGAATCGTTCGGGACGACGAACCACTCGTGCTGTTTTGGATAAAATGGTTGAATGATAGTGATGCGAACAAGAGTTCCGAGGCCGCGAAGGCTGTGTTACTGGAAGCCGTGACAGAGGAGCCCGAGGGAGGCCAGAAATACTTTTATTTGAAGAGTTCGGACGCGAACCTCGCGGCTACTCATCAGGAGCAGCGCAGGGAGATGAGGTCATACGCGACGACGCGTCATCTACTGGACAAGGAATGAATTCATTGTACGAGACTTGCGCCAGAGGTTCTTGTCCGCGGGCCTCATGTCTCGGCCGCGGGATACCTGCCGTAGACACTCCTAACTCCTAAATCTTCTGCGTCCCTGAAGATCTGCGCCCTTAGGATTGTCGCTCACGCCTCACAGGGTCGGACAAGGAAATGCCACGACCATCGACAACGTTTGTATTCTGGAAGACTCACCGCTCCTGATTGTAAGCCCTTCGTATATACATTGTATGATTTCTCGATGTTCGAGGGAGGGAAAGCGGCTCGCAGCGTACGGCGGGAATGCGGCGATACCATCCTCGGTTTCCCTAGTGCTAGGATACTTCATATCGGAGATCGCGGTATCTATCAGAGAATCTGAAGGAGCCAGCACAGTGCTGTCGGTGAGGTATACGCATATTCGCATGATTCTAGCGAAGCGCTGTGATCAGCGCGCTGTCAACCGTCTAGATTTTTCCGGAAAAATTGGTCCTCTGTGAACGACGAGAACTCGTTTCAATATCGGATTTTAGAGGGATTATTGGAGAACCAAGCTCTCCCATAGCGCTTTCCGAATCGCGCTCCGGTTGCTGTACAGTATGCCCTATGAGGGAAAGAATATTTGCTGTAACGTGCGATTCTCCCTAGTATTCTGCTAATATTTCGCCAGCGTGTTTGCTGTAACGAAATTATTCTGTATTCAACTCAGGACTTCAACCATTATTATCAAGATGGCGCGACGGAGCCGCACGAGTCCTCTCGGGTTCTTCGCTAGATTTCAAGGGTGACCAAAACAATCGAATGTCATCCGATCGACCGATGGGGCGCTCACTCTCATTGAAGGAATCGACCTTTGATACAACGGATTTATTATCCTTGATGACAAGATTCGCAGCAGCTCTTCGGAATATTCACTTTGCATAGAACTAAGCATAACTTCCATCATCAGTCCCGATGAAAATGCATCATAGTCAAGTCGCCTTCGGAAAGGCTCTCGGAGCAAAATTGAAGCTCCTTCGAATCGAATGATGAGGGATCGCGGAAACTTCGCGATCTTCAGCTGCTAGCTCACATTGGCAGTGGGGGGCTCATGGATTACAGGGATGAACTGTATTTCGGAGAGGTGACGCAGCGCGCTAGACAGATGGGATTCGTCAGTATCGGCGCAATTTTGTCTTTTCAGTATTTCGGAGCTCAGGCAAAATGCAGTTGATAAAGTCATTTGGATAATCGAATCTGTAAACAATATTTTGTTCGAATGACGTTCCCGTTCTCCATATGAGGTTGATCGTCCGCATAGCAACTACCCGAGGGGGCTGATCGCGGCATAGCAGGAATGAGTAGATAGCTTATCCATCGTTGTCATAAACCCGGATTTGAAAAATTAGATAAAAGAGGGGATCAGCTCTAAGAATCGCAAATGATTCGACAGCGCAATCGCTTCGCTCACTCCCAGCGAACTCCATTGAGCCCCGACTCTTCTGACGGAATCTCCCTCCTCTTACACCATCATTCACTCATTCTCACGCATTTTACGTCGCTAGCCGAGTACACACTGAACCAATCAGCCAATGATACGTTCTCCAGAGGCTCACGTCTAACTACGAATAATTTAATTTCTAACATGATCTGCATTTGTTGGATTGGCGTGACCATGTGGCGGGCTCACTCTGGCTAGTCGTTGTTCACGCCATCCACGTTCTCGGAACGTTGGCACAGCTCACTAAAAGCTTGGATTTCTTCGATGGCCTTCCTCCGTGTCGGCCAAGAAGCGACAGACTCTATCCGTCGATAGGTATTTACAGTAGGTGCGTCCTTATATACATACACATTCTGAATAGGAAGGCCTTCCGAACCGTGGGCTTATATTATCCTTGTACCTAATCTTCGATACGCTCATGATGACGCGGCCAAGTGAGAGACGATCAGCAAAATAGGAACGAGCAGCAAGATTGAGGATGCCTTAGTTTCGGTCGACGCATTGCATGCGTCAGTTGCACAAGTATAAATGCATGATCGATATTCGCGTCTTCCGCCGCGGTCATTCACGTCTCCGGGTCGTGAGTTCCAGTCGCAGTAGTTGCCGAGATGTTTCGCCGAACAAAAGCGTCGCGTACCAATTTCACCTGGACGTTAGAGAAAATCGTCAGCGTTACAGCGCTTCCTATTCCTCCACACTTAGCGGAAAATGACATTCCCATGTTTTTTGAATTGTCTCCGTCCGATCTATATTTTCGAGCTGACAAGACTCAGCCCTCGCTCGCTGACCCGAAAGACTTCCTCGTGCTTGAAAATGATTCACCAGATCCGGAGCGATCGACGGAGAACTCATGCAATTGACAAACTGAGAAGATTGACTCGAGCAGAAGTCGAGAGACGTGCGAAGCAAAAGACAATTACCACCTTGGTACATCCCGGTCGTTTTGACGCAGAATTGGGCTTCGTATGTTTCGTCGCATTCTATGGGTTGTATTTCCTCAGCCAGATCTCTGAGATCCCAGTTCTCTGAACAGTAGAGGTCTGAATAAGAGTTGCACTCGTAGCATTTTATACTGTGGCCTGGAACGGTAAACGAGAAAAATTAGATTCGCCGCTTTGACACTCTATGATCGAGTAGCTGGAGGGTAATCACTATATCTCGCTCATATTCAATAATTGCAGGAATATCGATAAATTTATTTTTCAAATGGGGCTCAGAGGAAGTGTAGCATCCCCATTTTCCTCGGAACCATGTTCCCATTCGGGAGATAGCACCTTCCAATCGGAAAAACACCTCATTCATAGAGCCCCCCAACTTGAGCGGACATTGCGGAGCCCATAGAGACGGATGATGAGTCGAAACTTCTGGCTTGGGCAGTCATCGATTATTCACCCATGCTTTGGCACGGTCTGCGTGCAATCGCAATCGTGCATGTCATCGCGGTACTTGTCTCGCTGCTCAAAGGGATCAAGACCTGGGACACGAGAGACAGACGCCGACAGCGACGTTCGTTTTTCTGTGTGACTGAGTTAAAACTTTCCCTCCATCAGAATTGGGAGGGATCGGGAGGGTCCAGTGGAGTGAAACGGGGATTCGAACTTCGTCCCGGAAAAACGGTAGGACCCATCACCCGGCGGTCCCGATTAGCGGACTATACTGTATGTAGTCTTGCGAATTCGTTGCTGCGCACATCTTTTTTCAATTCGAATAGAGCATTTCTTAGGCGGTTCGAATCCGGATGATCGACGATCGATACCTCGTCGGCGAGCTTCATTCTCAAGCTTTTGGTGATTCTAGCTCTCTGGATGTTCTGCACCACTCTCTTATCGAAGGGGTTCAAGCGCTCAGTTTTCCGCCCAACGAGCGAGACTCTAGGCTCAGATCCTTCCTTGGAAGAACTGTCCACGCTCGTGTTGTACGAAATTCTCAACAGATGTCCATGAGTTCCAATCGACGACTCAATTTCGGGCAAATCACTCGCCAATAGCGGGTTCAATCGTGAGGTAAGGAACGTAAGGGCTTAATCTGGACGGTAGCGATCGCACGATCGGCGCGGGATGATTCGGCTTCCCTTCCGACTTACCTACTCCTCAAACGATCGAATCCACGTGGAGCGATCTCGCCCCGACTGATCAGCCCCCCAAATATTCGAGTATATCTGTCGACCCATTTTCATCGACTTATATTGAAGCATGGATCTGACCCTGGGAGACTCTTGTGGATCATTCGGAGACAAGAAGAACACACTGCTGAATTGCCTCCTCGACACTGATGAGGCCGGAGCTTCGGAAAAGATCATTCTCCTCAGTTTCTTAAGTTCGAAACAGGAATCATCTTCGCGGGACCCTTCTTCCAGCCGTTTCCCTTCCGCGCCGCGGGTTCTCCCCTTCGTGTCTCCGGTGCGGTCCCCGTGCACGGAACCCGTTGCTCTCTGCGAAAACGTCATCATGTCGCGAATGCGGACTGAAGTGATTGCAAATTATCGTCAATCATCAGGCCGCACACAACCTGAGACAAAAATCTCGCCGCAAACCCCCATCAGGAGCCTCGAGTCTGCTCAGTGTCCGAGAGCTTTTCACGAAAAGTGGAACGCATCTCATTCTCATCCTTATTTTCTCTGCTTCAAGAGGAGCCCCCTTACGGCCGGAAGAGTTTCCGAGGCTCGGAAACAGATCTACGCTCCCGGTTTGTCCTGAGTCGTGGTCTTCTCATGATCGAGAGGGATGGCCTGACTCCCTTGGAGCCTCCACAAGGCAATCGGGACTCCAGCCGACCGGTACCCCTCGCCGCTTGACAACTTGACACGCTTGTCGACATCATTGCGAGTAATCACTAAGTCTCTTCGACCAGCTCACTCACCGGTCCCACATAGGGTCAGAAGCACTAGCAAGAACGGACACGAAGGGAGCATTTTCCCTGAATTTTCCACTAAATACAATGAGCTTCGAATACGGTTCGAAACAACTTCAGTTTCAGAACGGTTCTGAGTGTTGATCAACGGATCGTCATGGCAACCAGCAAATGCCTCCTACCGACCTTCCGAAAGCGTCGCGCAGAACGTCTCGATCCGTCCGACGTACATACGCGTGAGGATAGGTTCTCGGCCTGAGCGACTTGAACTTGCGGAAATCGTTCCATACACCGGATGAGAGGAAGGATTGGAGCGGGAAAATTGCTCAAAAACTCAATCTCCAACTTCGGAGCGCCGAAGACCGAAGACGGTCCCGCTGCACACTTTCAGAGTTTTCTGAGGCACCCGGCCCGACGTTATACGTTTCGCCACAGGTGGCGCTGTGAATAAACGTCCACGTTATGGTCTGACTGAGTCACCCGTGAACCCGCGACTGTCGTCTGGAGGGTGTCGATTGATTCGTCTACCGATCGATCCAGGGGAGCATCTACGCTTGGTGGGGTGGCGTTCAACTCTCCCTTTTGTCTCTGACCCCGGTGCCTTGCCATCCGCTTGGGCAGTTGCCATGGTGAATTGACAAGCAAACGAACTTCTCGGCACGCAAAACTTCAACTACGCTTCGTCTTCACCGGAGTTCACTCATGACCGACAGCCAGAATTCCGAGAATCAGTTTTGGAGGTCAACGAGAATCGTTCGAGGCCGGGTTGTCTGATCCCGGATCGAAACACTCGAATACTCCAGAGCCTCCTCGACAGAATAAAACAAGCCAAATCAAATTCGAATCTCACTTGACAATTCCTCACCGATATTTCATGAGAACATCGAATGGAACAACAGTCCCACTTCTTCCACATGTCAGCTCGGTCGACCTGCCCTGAACCAGTTCGAATTTCCCGAAGCGAATTCCGAGAGTGACGCGAAAGTGAAGTTGACGAGCCATCGGCGGGGAAAAACATTCCATAAAAATGCTCCCCAGATACGGCTGACATCTAGCGGCTCGCGGTTGGACGTCTCGACACTTTTTGTCTTCATATTAGAGCATCACACATAGGATGATGTGACCGCGGCTCTGCCAGCGGACCAGCTGAAACAAATACATATGTCGTGTCCGTCCTACAGGAGGAGTCCTGTTGGGTGCACTTCCTACTCCTCCCAGGAAAAGCGGGCGTTAACGCGACGTCAGCGAAACCAGGTCAGCATACACACAAGAGATCGCGAACGACGACGTGGTCTTAATCAATATGGGCTGAGCGTATTGCTTTTCGACAAAGAGCAATTTTTCTGTTATGTCACAAATGGAATGCGTTACTAACGCATTCATGTTTTTTCCCGATCGTTGGCATGGCCACCGCAAGGCTCGACTTCAGAGAGTTCGAGCGATTGACTGAGCTTCGTAGAGGTACGCTAGTACCGGAAAAAGTACAGCGAAGTGGAATCGATGCCCCCCTGCCTCCCAGACTGAAATTCACCAGAAATTCTTGAGTCTAAATGGGAACTCAGCCGTGCGACTCTGAGACGTGTGAACTCGAAGAAAAGAAATCCGATGAATACGAATGTTATCGTTTTCGGGAATAAAGACTTGCGCATGAAGCATGCTTTCCCAATGAGCATATGATAATTTTGGCATGGTACATCACGGTCTTCACGAGGGCTCCAGAACCGATACGCGTGCGAAACCCAGGCAAATTCGTAATTAGAATTCCCCTTTCTTCGGTCAGCGGCGTTTTATTCGGAAACCGGCTATACACATTCGAACCCTGTTTCTTCCGAAGACCCAATTTCTGAAAGGGGTTGAAAAGCAGACAGATCGTCGCTGCGGTCACATTCAACGGGCAGTAATGAAGTGCACCGTTCCGCTCATCCTCGTTTTCCTCAGCCGTGTTGAGGACGTGAGGGGTCATGCCAGACTCATCGAGCCTCCATCGAGGAATACTCTGTGGCGATTCGGATACAACGCACCGGCCAATTTCGAGGACTCAGAACTCTTCTGCGGTGGAATCAAGGTAGGCGATCCGTCAAATGATCCGCGAGCCTTTCTCTCATTCCTGTGTTCAAATATCTGATATTCTCTGTGAGAGAATGTTCCATGCATTTCTTCTGTGCGTCTCTCCCTCTCGGGTACTCGGCGTTCGGGTTTTCAATTACCACGGCCATCCCTGCTCGAACGATCGATGATGCGCTCGACCGTAGTGAAACACGACGAGTGATGAATATTATTTGTGATCGACATCGATAATGAATGCCCAAGGAAACACTTTGTCTGACAGCTGCAGACAATCGAGATGAGCCGCATTGCTCCGTGCGACTGTCGTCTCGTGGATCGCGAGGCTAGACTTGACGTGATGGTACTGTTTGGCGCGTCGAACGAACCCCTGTCCGAAAGAACATCCGATTGATTTCCGCCGATCTGCAATAGTCGGAGCACCGAGAAAGCCATCAATTCATCTATCAGAAGTTTCACGTTTTTATCATCCCGTCGCTTGATCTGTCCGTCAAACCATCACCACACGTACCCACCAAGGGCCCTGCTGCGCTCCTTGCGATTATCCGAAAGCAAATCCATCCATCTATCCATCAATCAATCCATCAACGGATGACATCGCTATGTGCTATCCATTAATTTATGAAATCTCGGTTCATCGTTCGATGGAACTTCTAGTGATATGCTCGAGCTCTTCGCGGAAGAGTTTCAGTCCCCACAAGCTTCGATTTTATCTCCATTGGCGACATACGCGGTGGTTCGACTCCAACGCTAAGCTCACGGAACGCACAAAGGATGCCGGAGCGGCCACGTGACTGTCCGACTGCGGAACCACACTCGACGTCACACATTCAACGTAACGCCGGTCGGTGGACGTCGACGACGCGACGCTTGGCCTTCCCCGGCCGGCGAGTCATTCATTCATTCATTCATTCATCCACCCGCCCGCTCGCCAGCTCTCTCAGAAAATCCAACAGAACTTAGGACACGCGATCGAGTTCGGCTAAGGCAACGAAGTATTGGGAGCAGGGAACCAGTGGGAACTCCTGGGAGCTTGGACCTTCTCGCACTCTTTTCGGCCGCTACGGGACGAGGTTCCGTCCCTGAAGTTCCGACCTCGGTCTGGCTGCCATCGGTGGCTCGGCTTTGATTCTGTCCCGATCGGAGCGGTCCGAGTTGAAAAAAGCGAATCAGCTGCCCTACAAGGGGACACGAAGAGTCATAAGAGGAGGAGAAGAAGCACGCAGCGATTTTTTAAGCTTGACTGATGCGTCGGAAGATATGGTGTTTACCAAACGACGAGTTTGATTGGCAGCATCTTCCGAACTGAATCTTCGCTTGCTCGACCGGCTCCTCCATACGACGACGGGTGATGAATGCAGGCTTCATCGGACAATGTACTTTCTGCATTAAAGTAAACGGCCACACCAAACGAATGTCGATCGTTGATCACTGGGCTTCGCTCTTTTTGTTCTGTTCCAGTGGAATCGTCTTTTCCACGACTTGCCTCTCTTTTCTTGAAAAAAGCCACGCTCCCCGACGTATGCGGAACCGGTAGGTACAGTTGAATGCACGTCGGTTCCGCGAGTGCCCGGACCACCATGAGGAGAGTCTAGGGTTTGGGGAAACCAATATCGTGAATCGTGAGCTTTTGTGATCGAGCCCTTGCGTAATTCAGACGGTACCGATAGGTGAGAATGTCGTCGTTGAGCCGAAGCGACGGCTGACCTTAGCTCATTGTGGGGGACCAAGAATTCGTCATAATGCCTGTTTTAGTTTTGATCGGTACTCTGTACTCTAGTCTGCCGCTGAGCTTATCCATAGCTCGCATACCGAATCTGCGACTTTCCTATGACTCGTCTCGCGAGCCTCCGTGAGAGCGATGTCAAATTGTAGATACCCGATGCATATCATGTTGAGCTCCGAATAGCTCAGAATCCACAGGAAATCGGTCGGCCCGGGGAAACTCCGATCGCGGTGTCGCGGTTCATCGAAATCCACTCATCGAGCCTTTCCTCAGGAATCGATGGCATTCCTCGCGACTCCAGCTCCTTCCTGAATCAAGGGACGAGCATGGCGTAGGAACGTCAGGTGGAGCCTCTGAACCTGCACAGATTTCTTTTTTCTTGCGGTAGCAGATCACCGAAGACAAGTCCGGGGCGTCGACGCTCATTTTTTCGCGGGTCACAGAAGTCGTTACGTGTACGTAGTTGGTCAAACGAGCGTCGGCAAGATCCAAATACGCAAGGCTTGCGAGCGAATCTCCTGAGGTATCGATCCCGGGTCCCAGCACACGCCCACTTTCCACAAGATGGAGATGGGGAAATTGAACCAGTTTGGCAGCTGACGGAATTCGGAGCTGCCTCTTGTTTTTGGTTTCTATTCTTCTATGTCTCCTATTCACTTCTTCTCCCCTTTTCCCGTGTCTATTCGAACTGTCGATCCGATTTACGAATCCGCCTCCTGGAGCTGTGTTGGAAAAAGTTTTGATGGAAGGTCCAGTTTCACGTTCGATTTCCCATAAGCGTGCGCGCGTTGAAGTGACAAGGGTCCTGCCGAACTTATTTTCTACCGGTGACGCTGTTTTCATCCTTCGGGCTATCGAAAGCTCCGGCAGGAGTCGTCGCCCGAGGACCGTGGCGAACGATCTCGTTCAGACCAAAATTTTCAAGTATGAAATGGAACTCTCACAGTTTCGGATAGCGCACACTCAATATAAATGCTCGCGAGACAACGTATGTATATTCCCTCTCGGCAGAGAACGGTTCGGAGTATTCTTTCCTCTTCTCGGATAGAATCATTTCGTGGAATCTCTCGCAGACATCGTCAATTGGATTTTTTTTCAAAACCGAGCGATTTGGAGCGTCCTGGGTTCCTGGATTGAAAAATAGACCAGACCATCATAAGACAAAGCACATCTCAGTCGAATGCGGGTCACCACTGTCTTCCCGCTCTATCCCTCTCAATTATCTTCCAACCCTCATCCAGACGATTACGGCCTTGTTGCGCCCGAATCTTCACCCGAAGAACATAAGAGCAACCGGAAGGTGCCGTTGTTTCGCTAATAACGAAGAAAAAAAAACAAAAGAACTTCTTTTGCCTGGAGCTTGGAGACTCTAAGAAGTGCTTTCGAATGAGACGCGAAAAACTAGACGCGAAAATTGACGGGCCCGAGGAGCTCTCCTCGATTCGGACTTGATTAACATTGAACCACAAGCTGATGATGTTCCGTTTTTCGCGCTAGTTACGGCAATTACGGATAGACGAGCGCCTGATGACACGTTGATGATATCCATCTAGTAGGCGACTGAGGCGGAGACTGGCGATGTCTTCCTTAGATCGACTATTGACTGCGGATAGTATATCAGAAAATAGCCGCGGAGCGGCTTCTTTTTACCGCAGTGAGGGAGCTGCGATTAGATGCTAAGGAGCGACCTCACGGATCATTTATCGAGTGATTGATTCCAGGTTCAGTGGACGGACAACCAAGGCAAATGCGGCGTTTGCGGGGATAGTTATTCAGAGAAACGACCTCGACGACATGAGACTGGATCGCTCTATGATAGGAACCTCACCGTGAGGACTTACTCGCCCGGAGAAGACGTCGTCCTGATCGTCGACGTAGTCGCCAACCATCTCGGTAAGTGAAACTTTGTCTTCTCGTTTTTTCCCGACATTCGCTAGCAGATACATGGCAATGGAAGGCTGCAATCGAGAATGGCAGAATTCGCCCCCCTTACCGCCGCGAAGTGTCAAAAAATCGTGAAATCCTTCCACGCAAGTGTGACCCCTCGTGTAGCATGACCGGTACGCTTTCCGCCGCGATAGCCGCACTGGAGCCGTGATTGAAGAGATGAGCTGGGGAGAGAGTCTGCTCAGGCTCATCAATAATCGCAAGCACCTAGCGACTGTGTTCTTTTGACCGCGATCGTGATCACATTATAGCTTCGGCTTTTGGTGGCCGTCAGAAATCACGGGAGTCACAGACCGAGCTCTTCCGTTCTTCAGCAGACGAGCGAGTGGAATGCCTCATTCGAATCTGCCGATAGCTTCTAGAAGGAATTTCGGACTCACAATGAGAAGGAGAATAATCGGGATGATCGGGGACGAAGGACTGTTCGAGTGCCGCGGGATGCCGCCAGAGGCGCCGACGACGCCGCAGCGCGAGCATCATTATGGAAATCGCATCTAGTTCCGTTGGAGCAGTGAAAGCGAAGAGGGAAAATTATTATCCAAAATATCTTAATCGGGGGGAACCATCTATCAATCAAAGAATGCGCAAATGAACTTTGACTTTTGCTAGATTGAAAATCTAGCCTCTCGATCCTCGAATGGTATCCGGGGTGCTCCGCCCCGTGGTCGGAGGGTTTATCTTGTTCAATGGGGCTGTGGACCGGACATAGTGGTTGTATCAGTAGAAAATCACGGGAGAATTCGCCGGAGCGGTAACGAAATTCGCCACGGCGATAAGTCATACTCCCAAGCTAAGCAATGCTAACACATAGCGGAAGAATACTACCTGATACTGAGAGTGGATTAGAATGACTGTCGGTTTTCGTAATTAACCGCCAGAGCCGTCGCTTAGCTTCGTGATTGTTTCGAGAAGCACAATGTTAGTTCGGTGGAGCTCAAGGGGCTGCTCATCCGCGATGTGAAAGATGGCGTGAGGAAGTTCCCGCAAATCCGCTCGGTCTCTTTGTTTGCGTGAACTTTATAATTCTACTTCTATCCCTCCTCTTTCTTCCGGCCGTGGTCAAAGTCGTGTTGAAACTACCCAGATTCAATGTGAACCGCTCGACTGATAACGGCGATGTCCGCCTGCTGTAGCCGAAATTGGTGGGAGTGAAGGTCGCTGAGGACTTATTCAATATACGATGATTTCGTTCACAGGATACTTCGAGTTCGCCCTCTGTCCGCGCAACGACAGTACTCCCGAAACCGACGACTGCTTCACAAACCTCAGGGTGAAGTCCCTGAATTCCACTGAGATTTTCGTGGAGGAAGATAACCTGCGATATCGACTGAAGAGCGATCGGAAGGGATTATTCTACTTGGCTGCCACGCTCCCGAAAGGGGTCACCTGCACAAAATGCATCCTCCGATGGCATTGGAGGTAAGATCTATTGTGTCAGCTTATATAAGCGCTTGTTTTCGCATTCTGAGCATTGAGCGCGGGAAGCCGCAGCATGCTTAAGAACGATACCAAGAGAATGACTGTAGAAGCTGTAATGAGTGAAGATGGGAATGATCAGAAGTTACGAACAGACGGAATGAGAGAGCGAGCGAGCGAACGTGGCGGTCGTTCGCCCCATCATCGGTAACGCAATCGGTTTTCTGGGTTCGCTCCTGGCGTTTAACGCATGACGAGGAACTCAGTGTTGGGAATTCCGACGACCCGGACTCTCTCGCGTACGTCGCAGAAACCGCTCCTCAGAGACCTGGTTAGGCTATCGTGCATCCGGTCCTCGCCGAAACTGCAGTTTTCATTATTTAGAACAAGTACAGCGACTTTAAAGTCTCGTCGTGAATCTGCGATGACCGCTCGGGTCGGATTCGTTGGCCGCGAGCGTTCCATTCAGAGTGTTTGGCTATTCACGAGAATGCCGGCTTGTTTGAACGTTTAAGTTGGAATTTTCTACACGGAGCGACGGTGTTCCTTTGACTTCCTATGCGAATGCCTGATCCGCGAAAAATCCCTGGCTTGTGCAGCGAAGTTTGTACTCATTGAGAAGCGGAGCTCAGAGAGCCTGCATCGAACATGATTTGCCGCCCGAGCGAGGGCTCCTACTGAGACGAATTCATCTTCGAAATCTCTCTGCTGTTCTGACCACATCGCAGAGGGCTTCGAAAAAAACTCCCTTTTTGGGGAAGTTGGAGTTTCCTTTCAAAATACGATCAGAAGTTCAGAGACCAGGACTATAGTGGGTCGGGAGAGTCTCTGCATACCTCGAGCCCATCAAGGGGATCTCCCAGTCCCCCTGTTGAGGGTCATAATAGCGTAGCTCCAGCAGTTTCCAAAAGTTACGGCGGATGTAGCTCGTCCCCTCATTCGGATCCATCATCACGTTCGGAATTCCATCGACAAAGAAAGTGAAGAGGTTTCCATAATCGTTCATATTCTTCGTCTAGCTCTTCTCCCTCCTTTTCCCTGACTCTGTTTGAGTCAAGTTTTGTGGATTCAAGTCCTTTCATCAAACCGAACTGCCCACCAGCCGATCCTTTCAACTCTGAATCGTGGAACTTCTATTGCCATATTCAGCCAAACTCGCTTGGACATGCGCGAGTCTTGCTTGTATCGTCAACGACTCTTCCGTCAAAGAGCCGTTTTCCACTCGGCTCTTCTCTGCGGCCCGCTTCTATCTTCGCTTCCAGCTCACGAGCTTCCTGCAAGTTTTCCGCTTAATTTCTAACAATGCGCTGATATTCGGGGTCAGTTACCGGCTCTGCCCCGCTAGGCCCGGATCCACTCAGCTGAGGCCACTTAGTGGATGTGGTTGGCTTTCGCTTTGTTCTAGAGTCGGCTCATGCCGCTCGCTCCAGGTCGACCTGAAGTTCCGGAATATTCTTCATGCCCGAAGTTCGTCCGAAACTGATTCCTTCTGATCTGGGGGGCTCAAATATTCTGTTGAGAGATCCGAATTCCGTTCTGTTTTTCTCCGAAGGTCTATCTCCGTCTCTTCGCCGCGTCGGAGGTTGACGTTCGCCTCTGCTCGATTCCGTGTCTACAGAACCACTCCTGTCCGATGGCAGCGGTGCCATTCAGACACGTTCATTGATACATCGGCTGACCATCGAGTAGGATTACCACGACGCGCTTGGGCACAATGATAGCCTGATGATGGAAATGAGCGCACGGTAATCAATGATCGGACTCCTCCCCCGCAGCCGCGGTGGTCATCGGTCGAGGGCTTGGCTTTGATTGTGTTCTTCATTGTTAACCATGATCTCCTCTCTCACATTGTGATTCTCATTTTCCCCTGTGATCTTTACGCGACTGGGAATCTCATTCGGTCCCTCCCTTTTCATTCATTCGGCGACTTCCGATGGCGCAGCGAGGCTCTTCGTTCAATTGACTATAATATGAGGATTATGAGCCAGGCACTATGCATCGGATTTCCGATTCTTGGCACGCGCTGGTCCATAATTCCCACGCGTTACTCGACGGTGGATAGCAAGAGAGAAATTATCGGGTATCATCTGTTCCGTCTTATCGAGCGATGCAGGGAGATCTCCTCAGCGAAAACTGGGATCCTCACAGACGTGGGAGATCTGGTAATCCGGTGATCTGGGAGATCGAAGAATCATCGACTCCACGTCAAAGATCGAAACAGGATTGAGATGCGATGATTGAGGAATCACCGGGGGTTCGAGCTCGTTTTAGCTCATAATAGAGGTACCTACTTTCGGTTATGAGATTATCATGTGTTTCGTCTGACAGAGTGAAAGAGTGAGTTCGTATATGACAAGGTGGTCGCACAGCTCAATGTCCGTAGAATTGTTGATGCGGCTGGTCAGAGGCCTATCTCATTTTGCGGACGCACGTCTCGTCTTCTCGGCTCGAGACATCCTGTCTTTGCCGTTACTTCAGCCGGTCGTACCTTCTGATATTTGACGTTTTTAGGGCGTTTCGCCCTGCAGCTTCGGACGGTGCCTTCGACGGGGGGAAATTATCTCTGATTCTCATCTTCAGTCATTGTCTTCCGATTCGTTGTTCCCAAGCGGAAGGATACAAGTGGAACATGGGACGTTGCAAAAGGACTCCACGATCCAAATGGCGTACTACATCTAATTTTTGGTTGAGCCCGAGATTTTGCGACGATTTGATTTCCAAGGGCCTGGTCCATCCTTACCTTCATTCATTGATACATCCTCACAAATCCGTTGGAGCTCTCCTCTCCGTGGGAAAACCGCCCTTATCGGACTTATCAGCGCCCACTTATCTCCCACTCGCGCGACACAGTTTTTGCCCGAAAATTCTGCGATTTTATATCGCGTTTTCTGCTTTGTATCGGCGGAATGAAATGCTCACCGATCTGTGTCACCTCGATACTACAGGTCTTGTCCAATCTGTGCGGCCCTCCAGTGAGGGATTTCTCCGGATTAATCCAGGGCATCGCACGTCGAGTTTTCCCTAATCCTGACACGGGAAAGCGTCTCGCTTGGAAGCTCGAGCACACGCCGCAGCCAATACGTTTTTGGAATTCCACGGAAACACTTCAGCGGCCCTCAGCGGATGTTCTGAAGACGGTTGAAGCACGACTCATTCCGCGTTCGCTATGCTTCCCTCGATGAACGAACGTAGTGAATCGAATCCACGAATTAGATTCCGTAGACTCTCGAATTTGGATGCTCCGCGACGATCCATAGAATACAGGTTCCCAACAGCATCGAGATTATTTCCCCACTCTCTCGGAGCACCCAAATCACGGAGCGGCGCCGCGAAAGCTCTGAAACAAATCGATGAAGTGGAATCGCTCCTATGAAAATCGACCATTTTCGGCGGAACAAACCGATCGGTGAGGTGGCCTCTCGGTGTGCACGTTTTGTTATGGACTGAAGATCTTCTGGCTCCTCACTATCGTTTCGTTCGGTTGGTTGGCGTCAACAAACCGTTGGTATTGTTCAGGGGAAACAATCGGTCCAAACCTGCCGCACCCTTCTGCCAGTGGAGCGGAATGACCCCCCCGTTGGAAGTCTCGTTCACGATATTCCGATACGTGACAAGTTCTTGAGCTAAACGTGCCGATCTGATCGCTCGAAGTACCTACCCATTTGAAGGAAAATATATATCATACAACGAAAGTCCGTGAAACTCCGGGTAGCAGTCGTGGACATTCAGTTGGCTCCCGAATCGGACTTTCATAAAATTCATGATCGTTTCAGGTCCGCCAACAACTGGGGCACCTGCGAAGACGGAAGTCAAGCGACAGGATGCGGACCTCAGGAAACATACAGAAACTGCGCTGACGTCGCTATCGGCTCCCTCTTCATGGGCGTACGTGGAGGCCAGGGAGCGAACGTTGTCCCTCCTAAGCAAAAGATTCCACCGACAAGGGAATACGAAATGCTTCTAGCCGACAAATATCACACTAGCAGCGAGAGTAGATTGGGACCCTTCGGAGACCTGAAGATAATTCATATCAAACATGAATGAACACATGAAGCATACAGGCCACTCGGGATATGTGGGCACTGAATCGCTGCGGCGAATCGGGCACGGGGAGGAGATTGTGTGATGGGCGGAAGTCGTGTACACATCCGTCACCATATTCCGAGACGAAGACGTGTTCCTCGCTGATTGTGCCAATATCTGTGTCTCATTGTACGTCAGACACATCGCGGGTCACTGAACAGATCAGCGTAATCACTCGATACGCTGATTAGCAACCCCACTTGATGGATCGATTGATGACTGGTTGGAAGAGAACTTTTAGATGGGGAGTCGAACCAACTGATGATGCATGGAAGTAGACAACGACCACTGGCAGAAAACAACTCGTGATTATCCGACCGCCGAAGACTGACCGCTGACTCTCAGTCTACGGTCCCGTATAATCATCTCGTATCCCAATGTCCGCTGCCGTGCTGATTAACTTATGATATTCTACACCGAGAGAAGAAAGAGAGGTATAAGGAATATGTCCCTCGCTCTTCCTCGGGAAGAATAGAGAATTTCAAATGATGATTCCCAAACAGAAAGAATGACAAAAATATAGAGAGAGTGAATAAATTCAATTACATAGAGAATCTCTCTTCCGTGTATTTCGTCGTACTCATATGACTCGGAAGGCGATGCTCTTAGCAGCTCCCGCTTTAGATTATGTAATATGATAAAGCTAGCTTACTCCACTCATTCTTCTCGTGCTCCTTCTTCGTTGGTTCTGCGCGGTAATGGCTGCGCACAATAGGAGCATAAATGGGCCGACCGCGGCGGTGGTTTTAGCGACAATTCAGAAAAAAAACCTCCGACGATTTAGCGAAGCTTAGCGATCTTTTTCGGATGATTCCGTTGCTGAGTAGCGACGATGAGACAAAGAGGGGAAGTGGACGCCGAGCCGGGCTGAGGAAACTCTGAAATTCAGACAACAATCCGGGTCAACGCTTCATTGAAGCCAGACTCAGATCCATGAGGAGCTCTCTTTCTCTCCCGATTCCCCTCAATCGTGGGCGACATCTGGAGTGGTAAATGAATACCTGCCGGCTCGAGATTGGATTCGGATGGCGCACCGTCAAGTTGAAGTCGCGTCATCGATTCGAAGCTCAATCACCATTGATTCCTGGGGTTCCCTTCAGATACAGGGCTTTCTTGCCACCCTTGAGAAGGGAATGTTTTATCGTAGTAGAGACGCACGCATTCAAGACCGAAAAAAATTGACGCGATTCCCGGTAATGATTTGGTCAATTGATCTGAGTTCGGAGGGAACTCGGAGCGTTCGTCGGCCCCGCGCCGAAACGGCTTCAGGGCGCCAGACCTCTACTCCAAACCGGCGGTCAGCTGCGAGGAAATTCACAACCTGGCGAGGTTTGATGTGATCCATGAAGCTGTACTAGACGCGCAAACATGATCGGCACTTGCAGCTGACGAGCCGAGTGCGTGTTCTCGACTCGGCTGCAATATCATCGAGCTATGTATAAAGCTTTGAGAGCCGCTACTTCTTTGGCCGAGTCGCGCCGGTTTCGAAGTTGATTCGAAGCTGATTCAGTCATTAGCGCGTTTTCGGCCCAATGCGACGGCGATTTCGAGAAGAGAAGCAACGCGGATGAGAAAAACCAGACGCAGGAAGAGAGTGAGAAAGGAAGGTAGTGATTACTGATCGGCGACGGCAAAGCGTAAGAGGGCCGCGGCATCCAGACCCGGTCAACATTCCGCGGCCCTGAGAACCGGAGCTATCCTGGTATGAGCGTTTTTCAGTCAAAATCTCGAGTTGCTCCACCCTCGCGATCGATCACTTCGAAAAATTGTCTCTCGTTTCTGTGGATAGCCATGAGACCCTTGGAACCGACCAACAGAAAGCATGATACCCCGTCGGAAATCGCGGGGACAGTATGAGATCCTGAGCCATACCGGCACCAGTTCTTTTTCATTCAGGACTGAAAATCCCTCTCCTCCGGGAAGATAATCCTTTCCCGGTCCCGCGGTCAAGCTAGGAAAGAATGGGGAGAAGTTAGAAAACGTTTTTTACATCGATGAGGAAGACTTTTCGGTCGTGACGCATCTGTCCGACCTAAACACGAATTGAGACACGATTCTCGAAAAAGAAGACAAGAGAACTACGAGCATTCGGCTTCGTTCGGGCATGGCTATCAAAAAGCGGGGTGGACCGAAAGGAGCGATCCGTAAGTCAGACCTCATTATTCGGTGAAGGAACTTAGATACTCACATGTACACATACGGGGGGACTCGTCAAAAATGAACGTGGAACTCATAGATAGAAGTAGCTCACCTTGATTCTCCTCCCTTACAATCAAGAATTTCTTGTGTCTCGTGGGCATGATACCGAGATAGTTTGTCGGGAACCGATTCCCGATCCTCTATCTGAACGAGACATCGATATGCTTGTCCTCGTGTTTTCCCTACCAAGCGAAACAAGAAGGAAGAGACCGTACGCGTGAGCACGCTCGGCATAGCCCGGAGAGAAAGTCTCGAAGAATCCCTTCTCCGGGGTCCCGATCCCTCGCCTGAAATCCGTTCGCTCGATGTGCTCGGAGTGCATCAGGGTTAACGGGCGACTCAGAGGAGTTATTCTAATCCTCGTGTTCAATCTAGCAGGCATGCAGTCAGTATAGGGTTCGATACGATAAATCTGCAAAATCATCTCGGAAACTTTCAATGGATGCTTCAGTGCTATCATCAAGAGCTCATGATGTAGATCCCTTTTCGTGGGCACCTATTCGATGTTCTGACTTCGCTTTCCAGGCTCGCCGGTCGATTCGATCTCAAGCTCCCGATTGCATTTGAATCTAGCGAAGACCGAGGTATCACTGCACTCAAGAGAGAGAATCATCTCCGCCCAGCAAGGCACTCAGTAGTTGCCTAGACCATCCCTTTCGTTTGGATGAATGATTCCCCCGACTACAACGAAAGAAATGATTTAAAAGAGAAAATTCGCCGCTCCGCTAGGAAAATCGGTGTAATTATTTCTTTCACGCTGGTAGTGCGCAATTTCCCCGTTCGTGGCGCCTACAACGAGTCAGTTGCGTCGTCGTCAGATGTGTTTGGAGCTGATCAATTGGTCGAACGGATGCACGTCCGCGCAACACGGAGTCGGAACGGAGGCACTTAGCGAGGAAGGAAAACAAGAAGAAAGAAGAAACGAAATTTATCTTTCGACGACTTACGCGGTTATGCTTGACCTGTTTTTCAGAATCGTGGTCAGCATCGTTCCAGAGAGAGGACGACGATTTTGAGCTTCGCTAACGTTGCTGCTAATGTGCTAATTGAGGAGTCGTATTTAACAGAAGAGAGAGCATCGTTCTTCAACCACCCTAGGCGAGTGGTGGAAGCTCGCTTTCGAAGTCTCTCCTGTGCGGCGGAATAAACGGATCAGGCGCGGCACGAAGTCTAGCGCTGAAATCAGAAGACACGCAGGGCTCCGAAAGCGAGAGACTCGGGTGCTGCATTTATCTCGGGATCGGACAGGAAACCTTCCCTTGAAATCTATGCGTCATTCACGGAGCGGAGACGCCTGCGAGCGTCGAGCAGATCATGTAACGTGTTTGAATCGTCTAAAAATATCGGGACATTCCCGATACGCAGGCGTCGTCCGTCGCGACAACACGCATACAACAATGGAGCCCTCGCTGTGCCGCCGGAGGGAAGTTTCCGAACGGAACACTGTTAAATTCACTGTTCGAGCCTCTCCAGCCAGCCTCTCAGTTTTATTTCCAGAGTGTAAGTGCCGGCCACACACCTTAATGTTTCCATTCATGCCACGTGAGAACGAGTCTAAAGATCCCACCTGCTGCTACGTTGAATTGACATGATCGAAAACGTTGCCGAACAAAGATCTGAACGGTGAAATCGAGATTACGATCATCTTGTTGATGACGATCGCGAGGAAATCGACAGTGATGGCACAATGATTGAAACACGTCTCTCTCCACGAACGGACCGTCGAATGGGCGTGAAGTGTGAAAACCAAGGGAATCGTCGAAGACAATGGGGGGCTTTGTATTTTAGATTCTATTCGAATAACGTCATCAGCGTCTGCTAACGGGCTCTCCGCCCGACTGCCAACTGACCTAACAGATCGCTGTCAATCATATTGGCTTTGAATAGCTATGCCTCAGTAGATCACTGTCAGTCGCCACAACGAGACAATAGCCCCCTGGAAAAGCGGGGAACGTGGATCGGTGGCGGTGTCGCCGACTCCCAGCTCAGCCAATACTGGGAAGGGAACATTCTATCTCCAGACTTTCCGATTGTGAGATGGCCGCAAATTTATGAGCTCGACAAGTTCCCACGAATTACGATCGGACTAACGCGAGAACCCACCGCCGCCGCCACCGAAGACGTGAGCCAACGAGAGGGGGAAACGGCACAAACCGTGGTTTTCAGTGAGATTTGCATACGCATTTGGGCGGTGTTTTTCATAGGGTTTGCGAAGCCGGGAATAATTCTTTCAAGACTGCATCAGACGTTGTTCCTGCCTCCAAACCCGCGGCCGAATGGAAATATCCCTGCGGATCGTGGCTGGGGATCTTAAGGGAGCTCGCCTCGTTTGCTTTCTGGCACCGAGCTTGGTCTTCGACCTATTTCAGAGTTTCTGTCACCTCCGATTCGGCAGATCGGTGGGTTGGAATTCCGCGAACGAATCGACCGAAAGCGATGGGGCGAAGCATCCGATGGACACTCGCGGTACCTGCCATGAGACGGAGGGTTCCGCCCAAGGCCGGGGAGGAAAAAATCTTCGGAAAACTCTTACACCGAGTGGAACTCGATTAACGTCAACGTCTCGCGACAAGAGGTTTTCGCTTTTTGGTCTTCTGCACCGAGCTGACGACTTTCCATCACGGAGGTTTCGGCATCTGTCCGTGGAGCTGCATGTTGCTCCGGCGATCCGGCGTACTTGGAAACAAAAGAGAACACGATGCGAGGGAGAGCAGACCGAAGGGATACCGAAAACAGAACAGCCGAAACGAAGCGCGGAAAAG